AAAGGCAGACAAGCCTGCCGCGGCTGCTGCAGCTGGGGCTGACGACGACAAAAGATCAGGTTGGAAAAAACTCTCAGCCATCACCACAGTTTGTCAGCAACAGAAGCTGCTGTTTTACTGCATTGTTAGCTTGGACTAGTTACTACATCAAATGTTAAAGTATTATTCAGAAACCATCACTAAGACAAAGGAAACACTTTGTTGCTCTATTTCAGTGTATGCAGAACTTTATTATATCATAATATACAGTATAGTTATAATAATTACCATACATAATATAGTTTTATATATATATATAATATATTTCAAAATTAAATAGAAATGGGCAACATCAGGACCTAGTTTTATTATGAAGGACCTAAACTTAGCCGTTTCTGTAGTTCATTAAATACTACAGGTAAACAGGTGACATGTCTGTTGTTTCCTACAGAGGGTGCTCAAGAATCAACGCCTGCTCAGACGTTTAGTGAGTAAAAACCACATAATCAGACTGTTGAGCTGATGTTGAAAGTTTGTAAATGCTGTGAATTTGACTGCCCACAGATTCATACCAGTGCACCGGGAATGTGGAGGCGGACTTCCCCGCCCTCTGTGCTCTTCTGAGTATGGGCAGCACCCCATTGGTCAGACAGGTGGCCTGCTCCTCAGCCAGCCCCGCCTCTCAGGCTGTGGAAATTGGTAAACCTTGGTTCCCCCTAATCTGCCGTACAGTTTCAAATACATTAATTAACATAGAGACAATACAGACCATAAAATAAAAATAAATAAACATTTTGTTTGTAGCTGTACCTTGCAAAAGGGCAATGAAGAATCTTTGGTGGAAACAGCGCCTCCGCGTGGAGCTGGAGAGTGATGACCCACTCAGTGCCAAGAGCATAAGGATCTCTGGTAAGAATCAAACACCAGATAACGTTTTAATCCTCTAGTTCACTCTGACATACTGATCTTTTTATTGTTGCAGGATGGAAGATCGATGAGCAGATGACCAAAGTTCTGCAGAAGATTCTTCCATCCTTGATTAATCTACAAAGTCTTCAGTGAGTTCAACGCTGTTTTCTGGAACCAGGTTTGACTATTTTTATATAGTGTTATTGTGTTCATTGTTTCAATGACAGTGTTGCAGTTTCTGGCAGGCAGATCTGACGGACAAGATGGTGGCGTCTCTCCTCAAAACGGTGTCTGTGTGCTCCAACCTCAGGTGCGTGTAGCAGCAGAAACTGAGGTTCTTCAAATGTTTTTATTTGTTTTTTTGTAATTATTTTGGCTGTGTGCTCCAACCTCAGGTGCGTGTACCAGTAGAAACTGAGGTTCTTCAAATGTTTTTGTTTTTTTGTAATTATTTTGAATTAAAACTTTACCATGGTTTCTCTAGATAAAAAAATAAATAAAAAAACATTAAAAAAAATACTTTACTACAGTTCAGTCAATGAGTAGTTTGACATATTTTTAACACAGCCTAACAGATGATGGATTCAGCTACAGATATTTACTAATTCTTTCTTTCTTTTAAATCTCTCTCAGGATTTTGGCCTTGGAGGGAAACCCTCTCCCAGACGAGAGTTACCACTGCATTCTCTCTGCAAAGAGTGTGTGAGTCTCCAAGCATTCCACACATGACTGCCATGTCTCTTAGCAGAGCATCAACTGATGAGTGTTTCTCTGTTCAAGTCTGACTGAAGTGTCCCTGCGGAACAACCAGATCGACGATAACGCAGCTCTTGCGATCGGATCTGCAATCTCCACGACCAGAACTTCAAACAAAAACCTCCTGTCACTGTGCCTGGCTTTTAACTGTATCGGTGATGAGGGCGCTGCTCATATAGCAAAGGCAGGAAATTAATTTCAACCGTTCTTTGTCATGTTTTAGCTGTTCATTCTGTTTAATTGAATTTACTTTTTTTTTAGGGTCTGAGGTTCAATCGTTCTCTGCTCTTTCTGTCACTAGCCCACAACCTGATTGGAGACTCAGGAGCAGCTCATCTGGCTGAGGTGCTTTATTACTTTTAGTTTGTAACACTATAAGCATCTTTTAAGTGCTGTGATTAACCAACTTCCTCCACTGTCAGGTCCTGGGTGAGTTTGCTCTCACCCATGAAGAAGTTGTGGAGCGAAGGAAACTTCTTCTGGAAAAACAGTCTGTCAGTGCATTCATCCAAATACTCATCAGTAAATATTTTCATTTGTCCCACTGTCGTCAATCTCAAGGTTACTCTTCCAAATTCTTGTCTTCCTGCAGTCGTGCCCTGACTCTGAACCAGCGTATACAGACAAACCAACCTCAGTTCCCAGCAGCGTCTCTACAGTCTCTGTCAGCAAAGCGGATAAAAAAGGCACACCCAAAAAAAAGGTAACGTGTTCACATTGATGTGAGTTCATGGTGGTCTGTACAGCAGGTGACATGGATTCTGGATATCTGTTCAGTCACAGGGGGGCGCCAAAAAACGAGAAAAACCTGCCAGTAAAGAGAAGACCAAGAGAGGTGAGAGCATCCACCAATCACAGTGGAATATCTGCAGCACTGTTCTCACCCCTGACTGTTTGAATCCCTACTTACAGTCTCTCAGGTTGAAAGCAAGTGTGATGAGGAGAAACAACCAGAGGTATGAGGCACCTTCTGGTCAAATCTGGTCTCAAGCACGGACAGTACCATTTTTAACCACTTACATTTGAATGTACTGGTTTTCCTCTTTATCAACACCAGGTTGAGGTGGTGAAGATAGGGAACCCTTTGCTGGATCCTCCACAAAAAAGAGATGGACAACTTTTTCTGCCTGGAAACAAAATACTGGCTTACCTGAACCTGGCAGGTTAATAAAACTAGTCACAGATTTATCTTAGTTTTAGAGAGAAATGAAACTGCATACAAGTCTTTGCATCATTATTTTTTCAACCTGAAATACAGCAAACATCTGCACATTTGTAATAATGATTAAGCAGTATGTGTATGTGTTCATAAAAATAACTGAGCAATAATTCCAATATTCATTTACTGTAGATTAGATCTAGTCAACGTCTGTGTGACAATTTTTAAAAAATATTGTGGTTGAATTTATGATAATATGTTTGTGTAGGAAACAGAATCACAGAGAAGTCACTGCCGTTGTTCTTGACCTCACTGGAGATGCAGGGGGAGAAGGGTGGTCTGCTGCATCTGTGTTTGCAGGTGTGTTTAAACTGATTCACATCAACTGTGTGTGGATTTTAACCTGGTCATCTTTTTCTTCACATTATGATTTTTAATGTATGTTAAGGTAGCAGGTCTTCATCATGTAACAGCTGATATCACAGCTGCTTTCCAATCTCTTTCTCAGAGAAACTGTTTCCCATCAGAGTGTGAGTCCCATGACAAGATACAGGAATTGTTGACACCGAAACTGGAGAAAGAACCATGGAAGCCAATCCCAGTTACAAATCCAGTATAGTTTGATTAGCACGGATGAGATGCAAAGGAATATACATATTTTTTTATTTTATATATATTTATAGATTTCCAACAACTGTCACAAGACATGTCAAATGTTACATATCTGGTGATGGTATTATATTTAATCACCTGTGTACAAATTTGAAGACTTGATATGAAAATTAAAATGAATAAATAAAAATAATGAAATTCCACTTTTTACTTTATTATAATTTGTTAACGTTGTATTGTGATATATAATAATAATATAATATAATATACACAAACCCAATGAATCTTTATTTGAAGATATAAAAGTGAACAAAGTAGGTCACTCAATATCTTTATTATTGTTAATAAAAATAAATGTAATGGGAATCTTAAGTCATTTGATAATTTGTGTTTACGTGTGGTTTCGACCTTAGCAATATGGCCGCCAGGACCTGTTATAGTCGTCATATCCGGTCCGTGCGCTAAGAAACAGTCCCATATGTAGCCCTGGCTTCCGGTGAAGCCTCCTTTTCGGCAGCGGCTTTTTCCTCGCCAACATGCCAGTGAGTATCTCTATGTCGAGGTTCACTATCATTTTCACCATAAAATCAAATGTAACGACTCGGCCGATACACTGGACATAAACGTAAAACATTAGCGAACAAAATATTGTCGGCTTCATATCCTTACGTTTAGTTTTGGTCCGAGTTTTTAAACATAATGATGCACGCTGCGAGCGCATTGTGACACAAGATGGCTGCGCGCACACGGCAAACATGGAGCCAATTTAACGGCCGAGACGATAAGGACTGATTAACTTTAAATCAACAGCTAAAGTGTTAGTAAATCAGTGGTAGTTGTTAACATTGCGCCGTTACAGTAATTTACGTTATATTTGGAAAATCGGTTGTTACTTAACGCGCTGCCTATGATCCGACCCAAGGAAAGTAGGCCAGCCGAAAAGCCTGAGCGTTTAGCCTCCACAGACAACATTAACAAAAAGCTTCACTACGCGTTTTAAATCCAAACTGTACGTCAACACTGCATGATATGTATCTGTTACATGTTGTTTTCCATATCATCGCGTTTTTGTCATCGTTTTAAACGTTTGGATCATGCTAACATTTTTCTCCGTTCGTTGACTCCTTTGTTTTCCTGTAATATAGCTCGCAAAAGACTTGTTGCACCCAACCCCTGAGGAGGAGAAGAGGAGGCACAAGAAGAAGCGCCTTGTTCAGAGTCCTAACTCTTACTTTATGGATGTGAAATGTCCAGGTTTGTGTTACGCCCGGTGTCTTAAAGGCCCTCATCCATATCCGTGTTGTGAGGCTATCTGCTGAGCTCTAACGTCTTCCCCTTCTCTTCACCAGGATGCTACAAGATCACGACGGTGTTCAGCCATGCCCAGACGGTTGTCTTGTGTGTTGGCTGCTCAACAGTCCTGTGTCAGCCCACCGGAGGCAAAGCACGTCTCACAGAGGGTAAGTATTCATTACGCACTGGATGTTTCACCTCTGACCTTACAAAATAAAAATATGAAGTTGTCTGGTCTTTCTGTGTACTAGCCCGAGTTAATATACTTTTTATACTTTTTTTTATTACATTTAAATGGTATCTTAACAGTCCTATTGCCCTGCTTTCTCGTCTGTAGACTATAGTTAATTTCACCAAAGTGTTTATTTAATTTGCACTTATTTATGATTCAGAGCTTCAGAACATTGTTAGAATAACTGTTTGTGGTGTATCCGCACTGCCAAGTGACTGGACTTCCTCTATCGTGGTTTTCCAATCTCATTCCAGTGCCAGAGCGATCCTCAGTTTGCAGAAGGGTTGAGCTAAACCAATGGTTCCCCCCTTTCGAAGGCTGAGAACATTAACTGTTGTTGAACACATCTGAACTAAATATGATTTGGTTTTAGACTCTGCCAATTCATTGCATACACACTTTGTCATGTGATCCTGTGAAATGTTGATCTAAGCGTTTTGTGAATTATTTGATCAGCACAATATGATACAATAGGATCGTTGCATGCGCGTGTGTGTGTTTGGGCACAGCCAGTGTTTTGTTTGTTTTTTTGTCCAGCTTTAGTCTCTGCAGTGTTCTGACTGTCCTGTTCTCGTCTCCTTTGACAGGCTGCTCATTCAGGAGGAAGCAGCACTAGCTTTTCTCCACAAAGCTTGAGGTGGAGAGGAGGGGACGGACCGGTAGATATCAGCGTCATGACCTCACAGTCTGATCACGAAATGAGACCTGAAGATGATGCAGACCACGGATGAATTTCTGTATTTTCACGTTGACAGTTTGGTGGTTGCTGTAACTCCACCCTCCAACCCTGTCTCTCTTTAATAAAAAATGTTTTGGCTAAAAGACAAGTCTTTGTCTTGAATATTTCATGGTACAATACAAATGCAAGCATCTCAAAATGTTTTTATAATAATGTTGAAGAGTTACAATTGAAAATGGTGATGCTTAAATATAATACTTCATCTCTATTACACTAAATTATCTGAGAAAAATCCTATATTTTCTAAATATTAACTTCATAAAACCCACTACATCTATTTAAGCAGCACTTCAACATTAGAATAACTTTGTACAGTACTTGTTTTGTATTTTAAAAATGGTATTTACATTGATTGTCTATCTGACTCCTCAAACCTTTGATTTCTACATTTACTTTGGTTCAGGTTTTAATCTTATTTGTCTTTAAATGTGTGAAAATGTTTAAGTCAAAGATTACAGTCTTACAGTTGGACACTCTTCTCAGCAGTCTATTCAGAAGGCTTGAGTTGTCCTCCAGTGTCTCTACCCGTCACTTCCTCTAACACCCACAGTCTCTGCTCTTATCTCCCTCTCCCCCAGCAGGTGGCGGATGGAGGAGTTCTGAGTGGACAGAGTGCTGGACAGCAGTGGCATCAGGCTCCTGAAGCCCTCCCTCAGCTCCTCCACGTTCTTCTCCAGACAGGAGATGTGTGAGTCCAGCTCTGCTCTGCAGCCCTGGACCTCTGACAGCATGTCGTACATCAGGTTGTTCATCTGAGAGGCGTTCAGGTGCACGGTGGTGAATGTCGAGAAATGTGAGAACAAAGATGACGAAAGGAGAGTTAGATGATACCTGCTAGTTGTTTTTTCACCCAATAAGCTGTAAACTGGTGCACTGACTTTCCTCTCTCACCTTGTGAAGGTCCACTAAAGTGTTCCCCTGGTCTGTTAGTATCCTCTTCTCCATCTTTACTCGACGCAGCCTGGAGGAGACAACCGCCAGACCAAGTTTACTGTGGTATTACTTTTCAACATGACATTTTACTCAACTTTCTACAGTAACAGAGAGTAATATCTGGACAACAAAATATTGAAAAACTGATAAATAACTCAGATGTAAAGGTTTCCTTTGAAATAGTTAAAATGTAGCTGAAATCTAGTAAAACAACCAAACGTAGCAAAAGGCTAGAAGCACCGATGACGAGGAAACAATGAGCCTAGAAGAAGGGTAAAGTGAGGATGATGATGATGATCAGAGTTCAGAGTTTCTCCTCATCTTCTTGCTCTTGTATCGACAGGCGGTGTCTTACTGGTGAATGGCCAGCAACAGCTTCCTCTGGTGGACTCGAACTCTGCTGTGGTCTCTCTGTCCTCCTGACAGCTTAGTGAGCTTGTAGATGAGCCAAGACTCTCTCAGCACATTTGCTGCAGCAATCTTTATCTAGCGAGAGGACGTAAAAGAATAAAAAACACTCGGGAGAATAATTTCACGTCCAAGTACATAAACTTATAGGGCCCTTATTTACAGCCCTGCTTGGTAATTGTGCTACAGTCGTTTTGTCTCACACTCAGCCTTTTGTGTTAATGCAAATTTAGACTTTTTTTTTGTTTTATTTCTGCATGTCCTGGAGCTTTTTTTAAATATATGTGTTTTAGTGTTTTACCCTCTTGGTGATGTGTGAGTCCATCATGAAGTTGTGGACATGTTTCTCTGCTCGGGTCAGCTCCAGCTTCCTGGCCACTACTGCCACCACCAGGACGGTGCAGCCAGCTCCCTGTGAAGTACACCATCATACTGTGTGTCTGAGAGTTCATTCAAATTCATGATGTAATTAAATCGTGTTGTTGTTGTTCTCTGTAGTTACCATGATCCCAGTGAGGAGGCAGATGCTGCGTCCGCAGTAGGTGTGAGGCACCACGTCACCGTAGCCGATGGACAGGAACGTGACAGACACCATCCACAGGGCCTCCATGTAGTTGCTGCTCAGGTCTTTGTAGTTGTGGTGTCTGTGGTGTAGACAAGCCGGTTTTCATTCACCGTTTTGTCCGTGTTTTTATGTCACTAAAGGACATCAGTTACTTGTAAAATGCTATCATCGGTTCAAATAGTTGTAATATGTACTTGTTCCGCTAGAGGTCAGTAAGTTGAACTTGCCCAGTTCTAGTTCTAGTTAGTGAGTGATGAATGTGTGAATGGAGCTAGAAATCTTTATTCTTTCAGGTGTGTATTGCATTATGGGTATACTTGTACCTCTCACACACGTGTAAACCCCACGCTGCTACGACCCACAGAGAGACACTGAACATCATCAGAATGGTTCCAGGGTAGATCGTCATCAGGGTTTTACCCACAAACCTTGTATTGAAGTGAATCTAAGGATAAAAAAAAGAAATAATTTTGAAGTAACTTTTCTTTCAGCCTCAACTCTTTACAGTGTTTTTTGCACTTTAAGCCAAAAACATCAAACATCACTCCTAAATAGAAATAGATTTTTAAAAGGAGCAGCAGACCTGGTAACCTCACCTTGTTAAGGGCTCCGATGCTGCGGGAAGCGGTGTCAGTGAAGAGCCGACTGTGCAGCATCATGGCCCGTCCCAGCAGGTACAGCCTGAAGAACATGGGTAGACCTAGCACGATTTCCAGCTCTGTCTCTGAACCTGACACGTGAGTCGTGTTCTGCTGCAGGTACTCCAGCAGACCCACGGGGTAAGGATGAATGGCCGCTGCTGCCAGCTCCAGGGCTATCAGTGCCAGGCGGTCAGTGGTCATGGCAGTCCGCCAATCCTCGGCACCAATGTCATGGACGTAGAGCTAAGTACCACAAGGAGAGGGACAGGTCGTCAGAGTGCAGCCAAGAGCTGTGATTATAAATCTGTTAGATCAGGGGCTGATTTAAAAAGACTTGTGCCTCGACTCAGGCTATAAACTGAGATAAAATGTCTACGAGGAGACGTTAATCTACAGGACAAACAGATTTGAAGCTGCTGATATGGAAACTTTTGCTCTTTCTGCTGCTTGTTTCAGGTCTTTGCACAGTAGATTATCTCCCTCCATCCAATGTGGACGACCCAGGGTTTCAAGACATGGTCAAGGCCACAGAGTAGGTGTTTAGGTTGAGTTTGAGTCACTGATCCTAGAGACAGATTTGAGAAACATCTTTCAACAACATCTCAGCCTGTCTATAATGAAACACAAAGAACCCAGATACCTGCACCTCACAGCAGTGGTACGCCACGATGAGGCCCAGCAGCACCAGTGTAGACAAACTGATGATGGACTTGACTGTGAGAGAATAGACCGAGCTCTGTGAACACACACACACACATACATACAGAAACATGACATCATATTGGTCTGATGGCTCAGTCCACACATGTCATCAGTGATATCATGTAATCCTCTAATCTGTGTGTACAGTACATCTGGATAATCCTGATATTACCTTATAAATATATTACATCTCTTTTCTGTCTAATTCTAATATTATTCTGTTAATTTAGTTTCATTTTTGGGCCTGGGTCATTTCATCAAACACCTTCTATGGTTTTCAGACGACTTCAATGTCTCTGACCTTGCTGTAGATGCTCCAGGACAACTCAGTCTCCATCACCATCAGCACCACACCAAATATCCCCGCAGCCAGGGCGCAGTCAGCCAAACGCTGCCTTCTCACAAACAGCGCCCTCCTGTGGACCAAACGCCAGCCAATGTTGTGCGTCTTCCAGTACTGCTCGTCCTTGTCGTCCTCCATCTTTGGCTTTGGACTGGAGTTAGAACTGGGGCCGTGGCTGGGACTGGGACGCCCCAATCCAGGCAGGAGGCCTTTGGTCTTCACGGGGTCCTGGTCATACTGGTGCACGTCACTGTTCTGTGACTGAACGTCTTCATCATCTTTGCTGGTGATGATGATCTCTGGTAGAGTCTGGCAGCTGGTCATCTCCAAGGTCACATCCCTGTTCTCGTATTGTGACCTGCAGTGACTGTGGAAGGCTGAGCCACAGGGGGAGAGTGGGATGTCAGTGAAGGATGTGACTTTGTCCTGGAATCTGGAGGCCGGGGTGCTTTTGGATTTGCTCTCCTGCTTTTTTCCCATCAGTCTTTGTTTTTGTTTACTCCCCCCTGACCTTTTCTCCTCCTTCTTCTCTTTGCTTTTGGATCCGTCTCCTTTCCTTTTAGAACGCGGAGATGCCGTGACATAAAGGTTACCGTTGTATAAAGGTGTAGCGGCCATGGCCTGGGTCCGCTCCAGCCACACAGTATGACTGGAGGAGGTTTGAGCTGAAGGGTGTATTCCACACTGGGGGGGACAGGCTTGAGGTGGAGGGACAATCCTTGCAGGCAGGAGAGGGCGCTGGTCCTCCACCTCATCTCCAGACAAACTCATGGACGTGGAGTGTTCCATGGTTGAAATGTTTTAAGACTTTTCTGAAACAACGCGAGTGAGTAATATGTCATTAAAACAGAGAAAGAGTTATAACAGAAATATGAATAAATTAGATTTGTTACATCTGGGTAGTTTCCTTAAAGGCACCTTCGAATGGTAATAATCAGACTTGTTGATGACAGATATGACAGATGTGACAGTCTACCGATTGTAATGAGTTTTAGTTTAGAATTAAAAGAATTCTGGAGGGAAAAGGGAATCAACCAGCGACCAACAACATGGACAGAAACCATCCGTTGTGGTTAGTCAAGTTCCAGAAAGGGTTTCAGTCTAAAATTCCCAATTCAAATCATTAGTTCCCAAACGGACGACACATGTAGCTAACTGGTGTGTTGCCTTTTTTTTAATAGAAACGCCTCCTTTGTCTTTTTTCTTTTATCAAAAACATCTATGATAACCCTCAGTCTTTTCAGTAAAACTCTTTAATATCCAACCTCGTTCTGTCTGAAGCTCCTTGTTGTCACAGAGCCACAGAAAATCCTCTCAGTGAAATCCTGTTGCAACTCCAAATCACCGAAACACACGTTTCTTCTTCTTTTTTTTCAGAGCCTTTGGCGATAAAGTCAAACGCAGCAGAGCGATGTTTCAGAATCCAAACACGAGCCTGTCAGAGGACTCTGAGATCAGATCAGAATATTCCAACATCCGTCATTTGTCTCCCGTGCATGAACTTTGCAGCGATCCATTAGGACCACTAAGCCCATCCCATACATTTGTGCAGAGGTCGTGAACTTGTCCTGCGTATGACGACATGTGAGGTAAATACCCGTCTATATCCCTGACATTTTCAGGCTGTTGAGTCCCTGGTCTGGTCCTGTTCTGGTCCTGTTCCCTGCCATGGTTGTTCAACATCAGATCCTCTGTTCTCTCGGAGCTGCAGCAGTTTTGTGACAGAACTGACTCTAACTTGAGTTTTTCCAGCCTACGGATTGGCAGATTTCCTTTTACCTAACCATGTGGGTGAGTACGTACACTCGGATGCACTGAAAACTTTTCACACTCCCATAAGATTCCTATCTGTGGTTTTCCATCTGTCAGTCCATCCTCTGTCATCAGTATAATTATCAAAGCAGACTTTTAATGAAATAAATGTAATCTTGCCATGGAAGCGCCCATCATCTGTATTATTCCATCAGATTAGGATCCCGGATTAATCAAATCGTACAGTGAGCTGATGCTTATGAGCTTATAAAATATCAAATATGTCACTTCTTACACAGACAATATGCAGCCATGGCAGAGGAGTATTAAGCACTAAAGTCACAACAATGACATTCGGCATCATTCATTTTTCTAAATCCTCCTGACAGATGGGCCTGTGGACAACAGATCAGCCCCTGAATGGAAAAACCCCCAGAGGAGCGGGCAGTGGGCAGAGTCCACAGGGCACGAGCAAGACGTGATTATTTAATCTGAAAACGACATGCGTTCACAGACAAACAGAGGGAGAAGGGAGAAGAAAACACATTTATCAGGACGTCTTCAAATTTGTCCTGTTTCTTGTGTCAGAGTGGGTTGTGTGTGTTTTTATGAATTCAGAATCCTCTTCAGATGAAAGCTGATAAAATATGCTTTGCTCCACTTTGAGACTCAACCAGAAGCTGCTGTCTGGGTCTCGGTTTTGATATTCTGCTGCCAGAAAGCATACAACTGTCTGTGCCTCTGAGCGTGACTGTGCTGCTGGTAAACACAGTATCTCGTGCGTTTGCAGAGAAGATGTGAAAAAATATGAAAGTGCAGTTTGTTAAAAACAAAGAACAAAATCAGAGCAAAACAGCAGTTACTCTGACTGTCTCACTGCAAATGTTCCTAAGTAGATTTGTCCTTTTAAATAGGAGATGCTGAAAGGAGATATGGGCACATCTGCAAGACTATAAATTAATTCAAGCCTTTAGCCAAGTGCTTGTAAATCCCGACTGTTTTAGCTGGTAGATAAGTATGTCAGTTCTTCCAGCCTCGGTGGCCGCTGGCCAGTACTTCTTCAATTAGTCTCCTCTGCTGCAAATCATCCTGAGGTCCCCGAGGGAACAAGAATAAATATTTTTAGTTGACTAATTGCTGTGACAAGGAAATGGCAAAGCCGACCCTGAATCTTAAGTGAAGGTCAGTTGATCCCCTGGTCAAGAAATTAATTAACTCTGGTCTGATCCGCAGGGAACTATAGGTTAACTAAAAGATACCCCCTGTTGTGGTGCCGCCAATGCTAACAATGCCAGTGTTGTGGTTGAAATATCAGAGTTGAGAGTTTGTGGAGGTCATTTATGTATTTATGTACTGTATATATAGTTAAAGTTTCCGATTGTAACAACCGTTTTTCGAGATTGTACATTTTCTCTGTGTATGCAAAATTATATTAATTTATGCACCGAGTATGTAGACAATATGCAAATTAAACTGGGAAGGAACCGAGGTGTGATTGGTGGACAGTTCCAACATCGGCTGGCGATGCCACCTGTTTGGAAAGGATTCAAGATGGCTGCCGGCAGCAAACGTTTGTTAGATTCTGTTCTACTTTTTCCAACTTCTGGAAACAGGTATTAACAAAGATTGACGTCCCCTTTTCACTATAACCTGTTGTTATTCAGTAATTTAAGCGTCTACATGTAGTCGAAAGATTAGTAACGAGTTAAGCTGTTTTTATTTTTACATTTTATTTTCTGCAAATTATCGCCGTCTACTGCCCAAATATAGCACAACCGTTATGACAGATACAAGCGAATTTAGCTTTAGCTTTAGTTCTACGGATATCCCGGCGGTAGTTTTGTGTCGTTTGTCTTTCACTTTGTTTTGTTTTGCTAAAAAATAATTAATATCAATATACTCAATTTTTAAAAAGTATATCTAACCTACGCATTTTGAAAATAATGCTATTTTGATAACCCAATTTGATAGTACTGTTTTGTTCAGGAAGAAATGCCGTTTAAAAAGTGTGAAGCAACGACGTTCAATGTTATTTTTGTTTATTTTTATAATTTAAAAACTGTCAATAGCTCAGTAAATATCAGTAGGTACAGAAATTAGCCCAAAGAAGACTCAAAAGTTATATTAGCTTCGCTTATTTACATCAGCTCACTGTCCACCCAGAGGGAGCCAGTGCTATAGCACTGCTAATGCTTAACTGCAGTTCACTTACAACGTTTAACGTTATTTTTATGGCATTTTTTTGACCCCAGGCTGAAAGGATGAGGACAAATATGAAAAGTTCACCTCCTCCATTTGAGACAAAAAGGGCCAGTCTGACAGACCGGACGTCACGGGTGAGTGGATGTATGTGCTGCTCCTGTCAATAACAGCCTGTTAGGTGGAGGGGACCCAGTCGAATCAGCAGGGTAATTAAAAACACACAGCACAGCAGCTCTGATGGCTGCATTGTCAGGGGTGGCATTCACCGTTTAGCCCAGACAGGGATGAGTTGTGTTGGTGCCAGGATGGAGCAGTTGCTGTCTCTGCTGCTGTTGTGCTGCTGGACTCATAATCAGGACGAACACAGCTGCTTAAAAAACACATCAACATCACAGAGAGATGTGTGGCTCTATTAGCAGAACTATATTGTCTAATTACCTTCACTGATGTGGCTTTAATTCACTCCCTGCTTTATCTTTTCATCCATTGGTTTCCATTGTTGGCTAATAATTCTTGTTTAATGGCTTTGGGTCTTGTTTTTATTTTTTTGTGACCTAATTCATCACCTCATTACATTTGCGAATGAAAGAAAAACTCATCCTGGCCGTGAGGCAGAGCCTTAAAGCGTCAGCTGCAGTTGGAAAATAAAACCACCAGATGTCACCCATGCTTCAGTGCCTCTAATTTTTATGAACCTTAATGATTTTTTTGCTGGCACAGTGTCACAATGGCTGTTTGGTTCATGACAGCACAAGGTGTTTTTTATGTGCAAAGTCAATTTTTGCATATTAAAGTGATATCGCCGGCTGCAGCTGCGACAAGACGCTTCATCTCCGGTGATTTATTAACGACCCCCATATTGTGTCCTTGCTCCACGTCTGGTGCAGTTTTTTCTGCTTTATGTGACTTAGCCAATCCTTCTTTCCCCCTCTTCCAAGGGCCACTTCCCATCCTCTGTGTGCAGCTAAGCGTGAGTCGGAGGCTCCGGAGCTTCCCTGTGTGTGAGGTGAGCTGCCTCACAGAAAGAGGGGGTAATTCCGAAGGGCAGTAGAGTGGTAATAGGGTAATCTATTATACAGTCCCAACTCTTTCTTTCTCCATCCTTGCTCCCTGCCTCCTCCTCCTCCTCCTCTTCTTCTTCCTCTTTTCTTTCTCAGTGGTTTCCCTTTCCTCGCTGCCTCCGTCCTTGCATCAGCGTTTCGTGGGGACAAATGGGAGGCAGAGTTTAACGCTGCACATTCCTGTTGCCCTCCTGCAGAGTCCAGCACTTTTTCAATTAAAGCAGGGGTTCATCTGCCCTGCTGATTCAACTCCCCTCCTGCTGTGTGTGTGTGTGTAGCAGTGGGGGTGGGGGCTCACCCACTTGCAGACATGTACAGGTTCCAGTCCAGCAGCGCGTGACAACCTGCATGCTGTGTTATCGTATCTGTAGCTAGAAGCCATATATTTTTGGCCTGTGCCATGGTCAACCATCCGTAAAGCAGACGGATAGTGACAGTCACACACACTCGCAGCAGAGGAGATAAGTACAGTGGGACTTCTTCTTTGTGTGCTCATATATTTAATTGTCTTTGTCTTGTGTGAGACAAATATGTCACAAATAATCCAACTGGTTTTCAGTGTGAGGTTCACTACAGTCTGCACATTAGTAGACACCAAACCCCTGAACCAAATACACTTCAGAACATAGAACTGGATCCTCTTTAAAACCCGGCTCTCGTATAGTTTCCTTACCAGTGAAGCCTCGCGAACTCATTCAGCCCAACATTCACTACTTAAAAAAAATCCTGCATGCATCGCCATTACTTCCAATCAGAAATTGAACTTATCTTTTTTTTCCCCTGATGAAAATGTGGTTGTGCATGCTAAACAGACCAGAACTTTAGGTAAGAAAAAAAAACAAACCGTGCTTTTTTTTCCCTCTGGTTTCTTTTCAACTGAACATACACAGAGCCATTAAGAATCAGGGGACGGTTGTTGACATTTACACAGCTGACCGTCTCCTAGTGATCAGGTGCTGACATTTTGACTAGACCAAATGAAGACGCGTGCCTTGACTTTCCTGACGTCTGCCTAAGTCACATCCAGCTTCAAACCTTTAAACCTCACCCACCATTTTCTTCATACCCTGCTAATAAAAAATAATACCAACAGTAGCTGGATTTTGAAGACATTAAAAGAATTATAGAGCCTGGTATGAAGTTGAGCTCTCCCAATTTTCTTTGGAGGAGGAGGAAGGAGCAGAAACTCGAAGCGCAGCAGGAAACAGAATTGAATTCATTTACTTTTCATGGCAATTTTTAGGAGCTATTTCTGTTCACAACTCAATGAGTCAAACCGGCAAAAATGCTTTCTCTTCTCACTGCTTTAATACTGGCTGTTTCTGCACCTCCTCCTCTTCTTCAGCCTGCTCTCCTCTATAAACATGAAGATCATTTGACTCATAGGCATCAGCTCTTCTGTTGTCTCTAATCAGGTCAACCTTTGCCAAAAGACTAATTCAGATTCACAAATCCCTGCAGTTGTTTCACCTCCTGCTCTACCATCAACCCTTTCAACCCCATCACTGACATCTGTCTCTTATGTGAGCTCCATTTTAGTCACACCTTCACACAGATTGGAAGACAGAGAGAGAGAGAGAGGGAGAGCGAGAGGGAGAGCATCTCTCTCTCTGCTCCTTCTCCTCCTCCTCTTGTGCTGCCGCTCCTCCAGCTCTCGCTCACACTCCTCTTCGATGCCAACTGGATGCAGACGGAGGGCTTTCCAGCAGCGTGCTGAGCGTGTGCTCCCTCTCCTTCTCTCTCCTCGCCTCTCCTCTCCTCCCCACCCTCCTCCTCCTCTTCCTATCTTCTCCCATCTATCATCCTGAATTTTCTCCTCCTCTTTTTCTTTCCATCCAGCACCTCAGCTCCAGGATGTGGCTCTCGGTGGCTCTGCTCCTCTCTGGATTCTCTGCTCTGATCCACGGTGAGTCTGCCTGCATCTTCTTTCAATCTGTTCTGAGAAATAAGATTTCACAGCCACAGCAACGGCAGCAGCAGCAGCAACGGCAGCCACGGTGGCGGTACTTTATTCTAATGTTGTAGGAAACCAGGAATGTTGAGTCTGTACCCCTGGTGTTTGATCTTGGGAATGGTTCAGTGAAATAAGATTGGAAAGTAAGAAACAAAGTCATCAGCATGTGACTCACCTGTTTGCTTACTTGTTTACAGCTTTGAGATTTGCTCCACATTAATTTTTGGGGCGGTGAGTGGGGGTGGTACACGTGGTTTTCTAACCTGGGGGCTGGATTCATCTGCATGACATTCTTTTATAGCAGGCAGACTGACTGACATCTTGTTTATGCAGTGAGGCAGAATGAGAGGAAACTGCTTTAAAAAGAAAATAATCTGAACCATCATTTCAGCTGCAACATTTCTCTCTTTATCTTTTTTTTCCCCCTCACATCTCATTCAAAGACTTTCCCTCGTCCACGTCAGGAGACGATGTCCTGCAGGAAACAGGTCACAGATCAGTTGAGTTTAACATCTAAACCACTCTCCTGATCACCGTCACGTCACCGTTGTTCTGTGGACGTGTTGCTGTGTTCTGTCTTCTGCAGCTCCAGGGCCGACGGTGCCCCGGAGCTGCAGAAGTCACTGCTGAATGTAAAAACTGACAGTAGTTGAAAGAGAGGAGCAGAAGAGCTGCTGAACTCCCCCCACCCACAGGCAGATGTAGCAGAACTGATTTCCTTTAGACTTTGTTTGCTTGCTTTCAGAAACAAGCCTTCGGGCCAGGAAGTGCACTGGATGAAAAAGAGGACACGGAGAGGGAGCAACATTTAAGATCACATTTCTCCTCAGTGACTTTTGAAGAACAGCAGGAGAAACCTGAGGCATTTTATCATCACTTTAACATCAAACACTGGCTGCTGGCTAGAAAAAAACACCTTTCATTTGGTGAGAACTGCAGTGGGACTCAGATCTCAGTCATTTTTCCACAGTGCTGCTAAAACATGTTTATCTAATCGGCATCAAAATCTAAATAAAAAAAGAGTTTTTTTTTTAAAGTAGTACAGCTTCTATTATATAACACCAGAAACCCAGACATGAATTAATGAATGTTTCCCAGCGACAGGAGAAATTACTTCACGACAATTCTCCCCCGGATATAAATAGAAAACAAAAACTGAGGAGAACATAAACTGACAGAGGTGTTTGAGTCTTTAGCAAACACTGTTGTTTTTTATGTTTTACACAGACAAATTGTGAATTGTTGTCATAAAACAATTACTGATATTTTTTTATTATTAGCAGCAACAGAAATTAATTAAAAGACAAGAAAGTAGCTTTGTTTAGGAAGGAGAATTTTCTGTTTTATTATTACAGTTAATCTTCAAGTTAAGGTTACATCTCATAAAATGGCATGACAAATTTGATCTCTTAAGTAGATCAGAACATTTTATTTTAGACTTTTTGTCTCGAGGTCTTTGGGCACATAGCCCCTCCCAAAAAATACAACCTAATGTATGTCTCCAGCCCTGTCACTGTCTTTGTCCAACTTTAGTTTTATTCTGTTGTACACCACCCTGAGATATTACACGTTCTTGACTAATTGTTGGTTTGACACAGTCATTTTTAAGGAGGAACAGAAGCAGATTAAATAATAATTCTAAACGATGGACAGAAATAATACAAACCTATCGTTTAGGCATGTTTTTGCAAAGTAATTTTGTAATATATATTTATGTCATTCTGTATTTTCCACAACAATAATCTTGAACAGAGAAGAAAGTCTGGGAGAAGGTGTGTGACGGCTGGTCAGGAAATGACTGACTCAACAGATAAAGATCAAAAATCAGCTTTGTAATTTTGTCTGAGCGGCCGATGATCTGCTCCTAGATTTGTAATAACAGAGAGAGAGACTGGATTTGTCACACTGCTGTGTATTTATCTCACACAGTACAGTCTAATATGGGCTGTGAAGACCCAGCCCAGTGTTTTGGTGACTGTGGCGACCCTTTGGTCCAGTGTTTGTTGGGAGACTTTGTCAACATCTTTATTTAACATTTCCTGCAGCGTCTCAGTGCATGTTTAATTATACATTAGGCTGTGATAAAACTGGTGCGTTTTGATCCTGGCTCCTGATTAATGTGTCACCGGTTGAGGGTTTGATTCCAGGATCTTGGTCTAAGTGCTGATGTCACAGTTCATCAGGACGTCTATGTGTGTGTTATTTTCATTTAATGTAGCGTTTCTCTGAATGTCTAAACTAAACTCTTTCCTCAGATGGAACACTGCAGTCTCAGGGATTATTTTTCTCTCTCATTTCATCCACATCACTTCTATATAAATGTGTGTCCTCTATCCTTGCTGCCTGGCGGTTCTCCTTTTATCAAGCCTTAATTGGTTCTGCATTAGAATCCCTCTCTCCTTCAGGGGTCGCTACAACGAATAATCCACACGTCGGGGGTTCGGCACAGAGGTGGCGCTCTGTTAATGTCTCAACTTTCCACATTTATCTGCCAGCATTCGGACGACGCTGAGGCTGGTTTTCAGTTTTCAGACAAATGATGTTTCCTTAAACATTTTTAATTTTCTTTTCAACTACGAGCCTATTTTTTCCTGACAGATTATTATGTCCATCCTTTCAGTGTCACTGCAGGGTCCGCACCAGAGGAACCTGCTGAAGAATCTCCTGAAAGACTACAACCGTATGGAGCGACCCGTGGGGAACGACTCCCACACCCTCACCGTTCACTTCTCCCTCAGTTTGATACAGATCATGGACGTGGTAGGACTCAGAAAGCCGCTCTTTATTTTCTCTGTCATGAATTATCCATGTGGTGATTATAATGAGGAACACACAGAAGGAAGTTCTGCAGAAACTAATGTGCTGAATGTTTTGATGTCTTGAAGGATGAGAAGAACCAGGTGTTAACCACTAATATATGGCTGCAGATGGTAAGGAACCCCAGAGAGACTCTGACTGTCTGAGGTGATAATGACTCTGTTCTGCCTTTATGCATGATAATGTCCTGAATGTGTGAATAGATTATATAATGCTGCTGTTTTAAGAAGATAGTCGAGCTTTAAATTTGCTAAAGTGCCTCTTCATTAGGAACACCCTGCTGGTATTGTCCTAGTTTTCAGTGTCAGTGACTGTTGGGCCATTCAAATATTTATCATCGTGTTTAGTGATCCAGTTTGTACACGGGTGGTTTGTGCAAAACACGATTTTAAGTTAGGAAACATTCTATGAATCTGGAGACAAGTTTAATGTTAACATAAAAAAGAATTATGTCATGCGGTTGAAAGTGGTTAGTGCTTCTGCCTTACAACTTGGAGGTCACTAGTTTGAATCCCGTGGTGGCTGATGGTCTCCATCAGGTAGAAGTGTTAGTGTTTGTCTGGTTGTTTGTCTTTATATGTGGCTCAGTGAAGCATTAGAAGATGAATGTTTGAATGAGAACATTTGATAGTTTCACATTTCCTTTGTTGCCGAAGCCTCATTGATTCACAGTGTTGCTACAGAAATCCAGGTTCATCAGACTTGAACACGTCCATTATTTTTGCCTGTGCAAATCTCAGCCTGAGGTTCCTGTCTCTCACTGACAGGAGTAGCATCAGTGTCGTCCTCTCCGTCTTTCACTGCTCTTCTTTTTTCTGGACCTTCTCTCCTCTGACTCCAGGCATCAGCACGGTGTATTTGAACTGTCGCTCACAGGCTGTTTTCTTTTTCTCGCACTATCCTGTGTAAACCCCTGAGATTGTAACTGCCTCTCTAACTGCATACATCTTCATGGCTGTCTTCCACCGAAGGAAAGATTTAGTCTGCCAGGTGCAGGAGGTGTGAAGTAGGAGGAAGGAGACACGGAGACAGGAGTTAGCTGTATGGAAAACAGGAGCTACAGATGACAGCCATAGATAAAAGACTGATCCCAATAACAACAGTACGACACGTTGACCTGACGAAGTGGCCTTTTCACAGTGACACAGTAGAGGATCTCCTCTTCTACAGCCTTTGAGACAAATTTCATCCTTTGCTTCAGAACTGGTACGACCATTACCTGCAGTGGAACGAGAGCGAACATCCTGGGGTGAAGAACCTGCGCTTCACCACAGACCAGGTGTGGACGCCCGACATCCTGCTGTACAACAGGTAAAACACGAATCTGAGAGGACACAACAGTGACACCTACAGGCCATTATTCAACAAACAGTGTCACTCCCTCTCCTGTCCTTCCGCAGCGCAGATGACGACTTTGACTCCACCTTCAAGACCAACGTTCTTGTAAATTCCAGCGGTTATGCCAAATACCTACCACCAGGTGAGTCTCGCTGTGATTTGTTCCCCTGACCCATTATTTCATTTATCCTCCTCCCTGCAGTGGGAGTTGGTCTGCAGTCTCTGTCTCATTTGGTATTAATATTTCATTGTTTAAAACAGTTAGCCAGTTACAGATCCTAATGTTATGGGCATCACCTTTAAGAAACATCCACCTCCTCCACCTCCTGCACCTCCTTTTAAAACAAAAGACCTGAAATACTACTTGTAAAACGAACTGCTCCCCTGGGTTTCCTTCAGTCTGTACTTCATATTTCCTCAGCAGTCGGTGTCTGCAGCAGCCTGACACTGAATCTGGTTACAGCTGAGAAATACTCCCTATCAATCCCATTCACTCATCCATGTTTATTAATAGGCTGCTGCTGAATGTAAATACAGCTCCCCGGAGCTGTGGTCGAGGATAAAGGCCAATTAGCAGAAAAATGGAGAGGGGAGCTCTGCGGTTTGTCACAATAAGAGGAGTTTTGCCCCAGCATATTGTGTTAGCGACAGCAGGGGAGATGGAGTAAATGGGAAAGGCATAAAAAGAGCACAAAGATGACAAAAACAGGCGGCAGAAAACCAGCCTGGTGATGCGTGGGGTGGTTTTTTTTTGGCTCATTATTGTCAGGATTAAAAGGTGGCACATGTGTGGGTGGCCGCCACAGAGTGTGATGCACATTAAATAATTTACAGGTACGGTCTCCCAGGTGTCAGCTGCAGATCATCACATCAAATTTTTCTCCCCGCTGCTGCAGAGCTATTGTGAGAAGGTGTTTCTTTGGCTTCAGTGACATATTTTCACTCCTGTTCGCACCTGTGTTATAACTGGGCACACCTGTTGTGTTGGTTTGTTTTGAGATTTCAGAATTTTATTTTCTACGTGTGCTGGGAGAATGAGATAGTTCCAGGTTTTAAAAAGGAGAAGAAAAAAAATGGCGGTTGTTTCATTTGACAGTGCTGCTTCAAGGTTACTGGATATCTGTGAGGACCAGGCTTTAAGAAATATACGGCACACTTCCTGAGCTCAGAGCTGTGGACTGTTGAAGCAGAAAATACTACTTCTACATGCTCACGCTCAGTACTGCGTCCTCCCTGGACCGCCGCCTTTTAGAGAATTTGTCATGATATGAATACTTAGAAATATATGGTGTTGAAAATGAATTGGCCCTTGAAAAAACACGTACAATTCAGTGTCTTTGTTCCAGTCTTTTAATGTCTTTGTTAAATAGATGGTTAAAGGAATAAGTCAAGTTTTAAGTACAAATTAACACTGTAATTTGGTCGAGAGATTTTCCTCATTGTTAACCACAGAGCTGTGGTGTCCTGTTCACCAATGCACTAACCATTAAATGTGGTTTAATTATAAAATATCCTGACTTTCCTGGAATGTGGGAGAAAGAAAAAAAAGAACAAACGGTTGGTGAAACAGTTAAAGCTCTGACCTCGCTGCTGCAGCTTTAAAAATAAAAGGACAATATGATAAAAACATCTTCATTTTTAACCACCCTTTTTCTGTTCACGGCCACTTTGTCTTCAGGCAGGTACAAAATATGATGATTTTTAAAATGTAGCTTAGCTTCCAGCAATAAAATCAGCAATAAATTCTAAAATGGAACTGAGACAAGGCAACACATTTACTCTGACTGGCAAAATCCCTAATGTTACTGAACACATTTTCTCCTAATACACAGATATTTGTAAAAGCCAAACAGAATAATCACACCTACAACACACTGAGTATGTATGTAAATATGTACTTTTATTAACCTGTTTATAATAAATAAACATTAATTACACTTTTTTAGGTCAAAAAAAATGTAACAATGTAGTCTTAAACAATGTGGTGAGAGATTCAACCACATTACTTATCCTCACCTCTGGAGCTTGATAAATCCTAGAACCTTGTACCATAAAGAGCAGCCCATGGTATAGAATAAGGTTTAATAAAATCTTTTATATTTAATAAGACTGCATTTCAAATTCATTTATATTCGTTCATTCGGTTCAGACGTGGGAACAATCAGTCATTTGAAATAAAAAAAAAAAAAGTTAATTTTTCTTGCCCAGACACAATAACGATGTTGAAAAGTGATGAATGTGAACTTCTGAAGCGGCGGGTGATTTCAACAGTTACCGATGTTGTTATTCTGCCTCTGTCTGTTCGCTGTGAACAGAGATGAAGTGACGGCGTTTGCGTGCCGCATCCTTCATCTGGAAACAGACTGTGTCAAACAGGACAAACTATCAGACGTTGCCTGGGGAGAATCTGAGTGTGTGCAAATAGCATTCATTTAACAAGCTGCTGAATACACTTATCAACATGAAATAACAACTCCGTCTGAAAATTTGACAGATTTCAACTTATACATTTGTATATTCTTGATGACACTTTTCAATATTAATTTTCTATTTTCTATTGTTTTGTTGTAATTCTTGGGTATGTTCATTTATCTCAGTTACTCATGATTGTATACATTGTGTTGCTGTTGTGCTAAAACCACAGCTTTAAACAGAGAATTACATTTGTGTTGCGGTGTTATGACTTCAGACAAATAAATCTGTCTGAAGTCATAAGACAACAGTTTTTAATAAAACACATTTATTTATAAATAATAGGGTTTTAATATCTGGTCATTAAATTTAGATTTGGACTCATTAACCTTCTTATTCTTCACTGTAGTTCTACTATGGAGACTGATTTGTACACTGTGGTTTCTTAATGGATGAGCCTGAGAGAGACTTTTTTGCTTTGGTGGTTACTTATGTGTGTGTGCATGTGTGAGGGAGAGAGAGAGAGAGCGAGCGAGAGTGAGAGAGAATCTAAAGAAGCCTGATTCATCCACTTCAGTAATTACTTGAAGGGACAGGGTTTTCCATGATGAAAGGGTTAATCTGATTATGACTCTGTGCAGAATCTAATTTTTTGGTGTCACTGCTAATGTTTCTACACAGAGGCTCAGCTAACGTCACTGAGTGCAGGCAGAGACTGGAGGAGTGTGTTCAGCAGCAGATCTGCAGCCTGGGAACGACGAGGAAGTTGGCGTTGTTTTAGTGGAGTTCTCTCTAATGGAAGGAGTTTCTAATAGAATTGTTATCTCCAGTTTGGCCAGACACCTGGTCACATCTACTGCCCCCTCATTTTGGGGCTTATAATGAAACCAGGAAACCTCTGAAGCTGATGGAGCGTCTCCAGTCTGAGCACTTCCTGTCTTCAGCCTTGAAGACAGGAATTGTTTAAAAATGTCATGTTGATCCCTATTGGATCATCCACCTGTCAATCATATATCCAATTATATTAGTGATTGTCATTATGTTTAAGGTCTTAATATTAACATTTAATATACTCATAATATACAAAAAAAATGTATTTGACATGAATCTACAACAAGTGATTTATACTCGACGTTCCCAACCACTGGGTCCTGCACCAGTTCTGGGAAGTGAGGTGTTCAGTGCTGGGCTGCAAAGAAACAAAATAATGATATTCTTTCAATTTTAAGTGGGAAAGTAGTTTAATATTAAATTCAGTACTATTATCAGCTTTTACTCCAATCTCTGTTCCCCCCCCCCCCCCCCATCTTTTTCCCAGGAATCTTTATGAGCACTTGCAGTGTGGACGTCCGCTGGTTTCCCTTTGACATCCAAAAATGTGAGATGAAGTTCGGCTCTTGGACGTACGATGGTTGGCTCCTTAACCTTCAAATGGTGGACGCTGACATTTCCAGCTACATGCCCAACGGCGAGTGGGACCTAATCGGTGAGAACAGTGAGGATTCTGGGTAATTGGACAGGACAGGTCAGTGAGCTAAGCGCCTGTTCTGTCTTTGTCCCTGTGCGTCCAGGTGTCCCTGGCACCAGAAACGAGGCCTTCTACGACTGCTGTAAGGAGCCCTACCCTGACGTGACATTTGTTGTGACGATTCGGCGCCGAACGCTCTACTACGCTCTGAACCTGCTCATCCCCTGTGTGCTGCTTTCATCTATGACTCTGCTCATCTTTGTGCTGCCTGCAGACTCCGGGGAGAAGATCTCGCTGGGTGAGTGGCTTCAAAACAGCTACCCATGAGACGAAAGTGTAGGTGCCCAAAGGGGGGGGATCAGGATTTTTTACTCATTTCTACTCCTCTGACACAGACTGATGTGTCGCCTCCTGTCTAAAGGTCAGGGGTCATGAAGCAGAAGTTGTATTTTCTCCAAAAAATCAAATGCTTCAGATTTACTTGGACATATTTTAATCATTTTCAACCAGTTGTAAAACAGAAAAATTCAGCAGCTCTTTTTTTTGTTGATGCGATTGTTTGTTTCTCTAATATTGCATTACATTTTTATCTTGTCCTTTAGCTTTTACTTCCACCCATTTTTTTTTTCAGTTTTGTAATTTGCGATCTTTTTCCACTTTCCACTTGTTCTCTGCCGCTGCATTTTTGTAAGAAATTAGTTTTCTAGTAGTAACTTTTTTTTTGCCTTACTTTCATTTAATTCTCTGATAAACATTTGGCCTTAAGTTTGTTTAGTCACTGCTACTCGTTCAGGTTCAATGCACACCAATGAAACTGTTGGGACTGTATTTTACTATATCACAAATTAGTTAGTTACCACACACTGTGTCCTGTTTGATTCTAATTTATTAAAGTACAGCAATATTTTAACAAGCATAACAGCCCTACTCCGAAGCCCCTCCCCCTAACCCCACCCCAGAGGAGCAGGCTGATAACTGAACTGTGCTAGTTTGGATTTCAAATATGTCAGAAATTATAAATTAAAGAAAAGTCTGTTATTCAATGAACATAGGAAAAACAGAGGTTACATTTTTTGAAAAATGTATTTTTTACAATGGAATTGAAAACCTAAAGAAAAGCCAGTGAGATGAAGATGTTGTGGAGGCGTGACACAGGCAGGGTGTGAAGGAGAGAAGGATTAAAAGTTAAAAACAAGGGATGAAAAATGTGAGGAGTAAGAGGAGCAGAAATAGATGGATGTGACAGGGTAACGAGGAAGAGAAAACAGACGAGAGCAACATTGGAGAAAGGATTAGAGGAGACGGCACAAAGGGGAGAGGCAGGGGGGAGGATGATGAGAAGGGAGGGATAGAAATAATCACACGCAGGTAGACTGAAGGAACGGGTCAAACAAACGCAGACTAAATCTGTCACCAGTGGAAAAAGGAGATAAAAGTCGCTGCTGGTTTTCTGAGGTGAAAGAGTTGATTAAATAAAAATAATTCAGTTCATCCTGATACTTATTTTTAAACAAAGTGAAGAAGCTGTCAAAGACGGACGACATGAAACGTTTTGGCATTTTTTGCTAACACTGTATAGACAAATAAATCATCTGCTCTAGTGGGAGAAATGCTGTCAGTTAAACAATAATGAGGTTGTCTCTTTCTGGAATGGAAAAGGAACTGGTTTCTGTCTGCTCTCTCACCAAACACACACACACACACACACACACACACACAGCCCCTGCCATTCAGAAAAAGCTCTTCACTTAATATGATGTGACTGAAGAGACGAGCAGCGACAGTCAAATCATCCTTGACGTCACTTCAACTGCATTATGTGGCATTTTCTGCCCCCCCTCACCTCCACGAAAAAAAAAATGCAAACTCTCTCGCACAGCCAGTTAACCTATTGATGTAATTAAGGCTAGTGAATTGATTAAAGCAGAGAGCTTACACACCGCCTTCCAGGAAAATACTCTGTCACTCAGCTTGATGGAGGAGACACAGGGGTCAGGTGACTGTCGGGTCAGTGGACCGGGCTTTTAGACAGAACACATGCTGTTGGTGGCAACAGAAAGGTGCATGACTACGGTGTTTTTTAATTTGTCTAAACCCCCCCTGGAGGTCATCGTATTTATCATGAGGACGAAGAGTTTTGGCGGAAGTCAATACTTTGTGTTTGGGAGAGTTATGCCAACAAGGCAATGCTTAATTTTTATCTGCTGGAGAAGCTGCACTGAAGTGGACCAATAAAACTGGAGACAGGTTCACAGCTCTGTGTGTTTGTGTGTATGTTTATGTACATGCAGAGCAGAGTTCAGACTAAAATAAATGTCCCTCTGCTGCTGCTGAAGTGCCTTTTGCTTCAGAGGTAGAGAACATCAAACAGAACAAATTCACTGTACGAGCGTCAGCTGCTTATGGACATAAATCAAACCTGAACTCATCCTGTGTGCGATCGTTTATCACAATAAATACACTAATGCAGTTTCTCTAGGGAGAATGCACTACCACAGTATTGATTAGCTATCTCGCTAGCTCATCTGGAAATCATCCAACATGTTCCTGAACACCGCCCCACCTCACACATTTAAATAAAAGTAAAACCCTACGGGCTCTGGTACTCATCATTAGTGACTTTTTTTGGCTACTCTTACATCAGTTCCACTGGGTGTTCTAGACAGGGTGGAATTATCCTGTCCTGTGTCCCTGAAGTAGTGGCTAAAACTTGGTTTTTGTCATTTTGTTGAAGTACTAATGTGATTAAATACAAAAATACCCACTTTGAACAAAAGTTTGCAGAGGTTGGAGCCTTTTTTACATGCTTTCTAAGTCAGACAGTGTAGGAAATGTCTAAGAAACTAAAGGTTAGCCTGTGGATCGGGAGCTTTTTGACCAAAACATTTCCAGCTATTGCTCTGCTTTTGGTGTTTTTGTTCCATTTGCCTTTTCATTCAGCCCTGTTCTGTCCACCTCATCCCAACTGATGTGTATGTATCTCCACAGGTATCACTGTGTTGCTGTCCCTGACTGTTTTCATGCTGCTGGTGGCAGAGATCATGCCAGCAACGTCAGACTCCGTCCCTCTTATAGGTAACGAACATGCAATTTATTTTTCTTTTTTTCTGTTTTTATACCTCAGACATCAGATCGATTGTTCTGCTGAGGACATGACACCCAATTAAACCTACTGATATGAACAACATTTAATGATTGACTGTATGAAGTAATGATGTTTCACTCGTTACCACAGAGCACAGTCAATAGTCAATAGTCAATAGTCTCCAGCACTGGTTTCTGTAGCAGTGATTTCTGTTGGTGTGTACGAAGAACAAACATGAGACCGAAGTTTGGATGAAAAGAAAAATCAGCTCTGTCTCTAAATGGTTGCTTTTTAGAGAACTGGTGTTTTCAGCTGGATCATTTTTGAAGCACATTAACGAGGCTGCAGTCACAGAAAAGCAGTTGGTAGTTACCTTCACCAGCTTTGCCTTCTCTGTGTTAGCATGGCAACACCGTGTAATAGGCTGCTGAAGCCAATAACACCAACGTGTTGTTGTTGCCGTCACTTTGTTAAATATAACTCCAGCCTTTGCTGAACCCATGGACTGTCTTTAAAAAAATGAAAGTTCTCCTCTGGATGCAGTACAAAGCTAAGATGAACCTTATGTCTGGAAATTTTGAGTTCAGTCGCGGATGACGGCTAATTATAAATTGTCATCTCCCACTGCTGATTTTTTTCTCTTCTCTAGATTCCAGCAACATAAATGAAAAATACATTGTATTTTAGGAGGGTGTACTTTTGCATATAATCCATACAGTACATCTAGTATTTGTTTTACTGTTGCAGCAATATACAAAAGAAATGTTTTCAGTTTACCTTGATTTATTATGATTAATCCACAGATACTCTGTGATTAATATGTTAAGAAAATATAATACATTGATATCCCTGATATCTATATTTATGCGTGTAAAGCTTTTTGTGTTTTTCTTTTACAGTTAGCCGTGATTATCATGTCTATTTTGTCAGAACAGCAATTCATAATAATAAACTACAAATCACGCGTTCACAATAATCTAATTAGAAAACTACAAAGTGCTGCAGATTATGAAAAGAAACGCTCCCTCCATCCAAGAGACAACAAGAGGTTTTATTAATGCAATCTGCTTCCCTTCAGATTTAATTGGCTAAAGTGATTGTTGGAACATCAGCAGGGAATCATGTTAAGTGGGCTCAGATTACAGCCACATCTGCCCAAACAAAAAAGTATTTCTGTATGTTTTTTTTTCTTGTTGAAAGCAATTACACTGCAGTTATTGGTCCAGGAATCAGGTTCACAAAAACACCAACACAAAAGCTGACAAAAGAGGGAGCCGATGAGTCTTTTACATCTCTGCCTGTACTAACAGAATGAGCCACTCTCTCTGACCTTGACGTTTTACGCTGCAGTAATGTAGAACATTTAATTTCACTACCGTCTTCGGCCACAATGGCTGTCACTTCATCACAGTGTGAGTAAAATGGCAATAAACTCTAACACAGCTCTCTGCTTTCCACCAGGTCAGTACTTTGCCAGTATAATGGTCATCGTCGGCTTGTCAGTTATCGCCACCGTGGTGGTTCTGCAGTATCATCACCACGACCCAAATGGGGGGAACATGCCAAAATGGGTGAGCTCACGCTCCTTTATGACCTGAAATGAAGGATGGGAGGTGGACTATGTAAATCTTGTAAACGGCTCCTCTCTGCATTTGGCGTCTGATGAATTTCTGCTGTAAATCTCCTGGATTTACAGTAGATATCGTTCCTCAGCTATTTAAATGCCATCTCTGCCGTGTCCCGCTGCCGTCGTGCATCTCCACTAGTTTCTATTCTCTGACTTTCTGGGCTGTGACTCATCTGGCAGCATCAGTCTGCCTGAGGAGTGAGTTCTTCAGCAGCACAGAGTCTGTTTCAAAGCACTCAAGATACGAGGGAGGGATCAGTTTAACTCGCACTCTTTTTTTTATTCTTTGCCTTGTGTTTGATGTTAGAGCTCCATTAATGCTATTTTTAGCTGCAAAGAAATGTAAAAATGGAGACATTTTACTGTGGTTCTCCAAAAAATATTAAAGGTAGTGGAGACATAAACTATACGGTAATTAAGGAGTATGTTGCCCTCTGCCTCTGTTTTCTCTTTTTGCTTTTTATTCAATGCAAATATTTAAAGTTTAAGGTGGAATTTAGCTCGCTGTCCTTAAATATTTAGTTTGTACTTAAGGTTTTGTTAAAGGTGTACAGCTATGCACATTTTAAGGCAGGTAATAATATTAGTAACCAGTCTGAGGTCACATGACTTTGGCTTTGATTCAACAATGGTTCACATGTTTTAATCATAATATTTGTTTTGGTGGTGATGTTTAGATTGAGATGCAGAATTAGATTTTAAAAAAATCAGTAGTGTTGTGCAAAGGCATTGATGTCATTGTGCAGACAAACTGAGTTTGTAGCACCCCCTGTAGGTTGAGAAGCAGGAGCTGTTAATCAACACCAACTAAAAAGCGACCGTGTTTTTTGCTTTTTAGCGGAGACAGAGACCAAGTCCTTGATTGATGAGATTCATTTTTGGACTGCAAATGAAACATATTCATCAATACATTAGCCTGATTGTGAGATACTGTGTATTGACAGGTCGCAAGGACGTTCTGTTGATGAATGCCCCGTTCAGACAGGCCAAGGGCCAATTAACAGGCTAATTGATGCAGCTGAGATGAGGCATCGAACCGGCTCTGCATCCGGGATAAAAAAAAACACAGCATCAGCTGCGATCAAATACAGGGACCTTTCCCCAATCTGGGGACACGCTCACTGGAGACTAATGCAACAGTCATCTGGACATTAGCTTCTGATTGGATTCATCTGGAGGCTGATGGGACAATATGTTTATACAGGACTGTGGGAGGAATGAGGAAACAGAGATGGAACTAGAAAGGAGACATCATGAGGGTGAAGGTACAGTAGGCAAGAAAGGATAATAGTAGATGTGAGAAAATGAATGAGGGGAAATGGAAAGAAATCAAAGAGAGGAGAAACCAGCTCAGTGAATGGACTGTCGGGAAGAGAAGTCAAACTGGCAGCTGAGGTGGGAGAGAAAAGTGGAGCAGTGACGACATTAGAGTGAAATGGAATCAAGGTTTAAATTTGTACCAACTTGAAAGCGGCCCGTTTTCTTCTTATCCTAATGCTGCAGTTTACAGAAACATTATTGCTTAGCTTAATGCAGTCATGAAGCTGTAATCTGACTGTCAGCCTAAATCATTCCATGGTTGGAATTTAATGCTGCCTTTGTAAGTATTATGTGTGTTTGGGGAATCCAGTTAAAGCAAAAAATATCTCCTCTGCCTCAGGCGCTTTAATGTGGGCGTCCCTGTTTAAGATGTGAGCTGCTTAGAGAAGAGCACATACATAATGAAACAAAACAAAATGCTGAGAAAAAGAAACAGCCTGCAATGAATGAAGTCCATTCACCAAGATCCAATACAGATTTTGAATGGTTTTGGCCCTGGCCGCACAGAACTGCCAAGAGAGGACACGAGGAAAAGATTAAGGAAATCTGGGGGGGAAAAAAAACGATCCTTTAAGTTAACCAAAGAGATTGACTGGAATCGACCTGTTTCAAGTTACATTTGCTTCAC